ACTCTGGCTTTACAGATGCTTGACAAGCCCTTGTTTTTGCAGACAGGATCGCAGTTAAAAATGTTCATTGTTCCATTATACAGTCCTAGGTGGCTGTGTTCGGAGTTGCAAACTGACCAAGCTTTGTTTAAAAGTATCAGTACTAACTAAGGCCTTTTAAGATGACAGGGTATCATAGTGCTTTACTTTCTATGGTGCCAAGGCTGATCAAGATCAGTCTTGAGTAACCAGTCTGTGGAGGAGATAATCTCTAATTCCCATGGTAAATCAGCACACAAGAATGGCCAGCACATAAGGCAAAGAAAATGTTAAACAACACAGCTGTTTTAAGTTCTAAAGGTGAACAAGAGACTAGGACTGCTTCTTTCTTATCTATTTACCTCAAAATGTATCTCCACATATCAGCTATTTTTTCTGTGCCTCTTCAGGAGTTACTCTTCTAATGGCATTTTTTCCATTCTACTTTCCCTAGGTTTCTCCCAGGATTTTGAGTTGCTGCCACTGCTAGCACTCAGCACAAACATCTGTCTTTTGATAAAAGGAAATAGAGGGAAAGATATGTTTGGAAGAAATGCATTGTGACAACAGAACTGCCTAATTAAAGCTATCACTGATAACCTGAAGCTGTCTTATACTTAGTCAGACCATTGGTTTACCATGGTCAGTATTGTCGGACTAGCAGTAGCTCTCTAGGGTCTCACACAGAGGTCTTTCACATCACCTGCTAACTGATGCATTTAACTGGAGATACTGATGATTGAATCTGGGACCTTCTGCATGCAAAGCAGATACTCTTCCACTGAGCCACAATCCTTCCCAGTGCTCTATCATCCATACTCATGGAATGGATGATATTGCTTCGGAGAGATTTTACTCCCAAGACTATTGGCGAGGGATTATTCGAACAATGTGGTTCTTCAGCAGAGCTTGAAGGGAAGAGATCACAAGATGTTTCTACAGCTAGTTTCCATGTCTACGTTGGTGGGAATTCAAATATACAGGAAATTAGATGTTACTTTGAGAAACAAAATACTTCAAGTAAAATATTTATCAGTGTATAAAAATCTCTATTGTATTATTAAATCTCTTTTGTATTGTAAAAATACATTTTCTTCATTTTAAAGACTGTATTTAAAAAGCCTGTACAGTCATGAATAAATTGTTTGAAGGAACACTCACTTCGTTTCCTTGAAATATGAAGACTGAAGAAATAAAATAGTTTACCCCAGTAGTTAAAAATAGTATTAATTCCATAGAGGTGTTTGATCAAACAGTGTCTTAACTATAGTGTTTAAAATGTGACATTCTTCATGGGTGCATTAGGTTGGATGCTTCACATTTCTAGTACCGCAATTAGTGCTGAAATGGCTGTAATTGGGTTCTAAAGTTAACAGCCCATTAAGGTGACTGAAATAAGTTCTCCTCTTGGTGTTATTACTCCACTTATTTGGCACTGGAGTCAATAAGGCACTATACATTGGTTTACATATTCAAGGTCTTATTTGCTACCTGAAGGACTAGACATTTAATGGGTTTCCTTTGTAAGATTTCATTTAAGAAACAATCTCTTCAGAAGGTCATATAAGAACCCCTAAATTACAGAGTGCTCACTGGGCTACAATTGGATCTCAAATATTCGCCCTCATATTCAGAGATAATAGCTAGTATATTGACAATAGAAAAGACTAATCACAAAATGTAGATCTCCATCTCAAATGCTTTTATATATTGGTGTTGCTCCAGAACATATGAGGTTATACGCAGCTGCAAGACCACTGCCCAATTTGTTACACCCTTCCTTCCTCAGGCTCATTTGTCTGTCATGCTTGACCTTCCAAGTCCTGGCTACTACCAGACACGGAAAGGATGAGTACAAAAAAAGCTGTGCTCTTGTTACTTCCTGCTTAAATGTCTGCAAAAGTTACCAGACATTTTGCAAAACCATAGATTCTTGCAAAGATTCTACAGCCAAATTGCACAGGCAAAAGAAACTTGGAACACTGTGCAAAGCTAATAATTTTAGAGTACATGTCAAAACCTAACAGCCTTCCAACCTTTCAAGCACCCCACGAATACTCTGCATTTCTAAATTTTTGGAAATTCAGTGTACCTGTTTAAAAAGGAAGGAATGAAGAAGAGAAATTCCCTTTGTGCTTTCTTTGTACTTTGGTTGGGGAAAACATAGTATACTTTTGAATAATACTTATATAAAAATGATACCAAGGGTTCCAATGTATCCTAAATATATTATTTTATTTTGTTATCTAATCAACAACTTAGCTAAAGGCATTGCACTAATGTATTTGTACGTGCTTAAATTTTTTGGAAGACACATGCAATAAATATACCACATGAACTTCAAAAAGACATCCTGTGGTGCTTCTCTGCTATCCAATGAAAAGTATTATCCAAAGCAATATGTGGACTATTCTGGAATATACATGACAGAAATTTCCCTTGTAAATGGCTCTCCTTTTTGAGTACATGTCTAGGGAAGACATAGCCTTTGCCATTTGTTTCTAAGAGAAAACTTTGTGTACCTTCTGCTTCCTCAGAATCGGTACAGCAGTGATACTCGGTCATGAAAACCTTTGTATAAATGCAGAACCAAACTGAGCTGGAAAAGACTTAATGATGTCAGATTACTGACCAGCAGATTTGTACTGCTCATATAGTGCAATTTACAAACCACTTAAGTCAAAGTAGTAGAATCAAAGTAATCCTACTGACTTCATTGAAACCAGTGCCACCCCAGTTAAGTACATGTGGAAGTAAGAGTCAATTAATCCAATGGGGTATGTTTCCAAGTAAAGAACTACTTTGTGTCACGTAAGGGCTTCAGCAAACCCAATGGAATCTGTGACTTTTTTAAAAAAGCTCTATATGATAACATATCTGAACTAATTTAGAGTCCAGAGTCTGGATCTACATATTTGAACTGTTTTTGAAATGCTCTTCGCTTACAAAAACAGTTCACCATGGGGATTTGGTGATAGAAAAAAATGTATCTTAAGTCTTTTTGGGCTGATGGAAATAAAGACAAAGTTGTGTTTCCCTGATTGAGTGTATCTGTACGATACATGTGTTTTCAAATGTCTGTTTGTTACATTGCCAGTTTATATTTTTAGGTGCACCACTATAAAAGTCTTTGGTGTATCTCTGAAAATATGATGTGCGAAAAGACCTAAAGTATCATTTGAACTGATTGTGGATAAAACAGAAGTGTTTGGTTTCCCACATTAAATTGTTTGCTAACCTCTACTAACCAGCTAAGAACAGACACTGTGACACCCAGCTTGGTTCATTTCAGCTGAGCAAGATACAGTAACTGGTGGCGATCCAGTTCTGTGGGGTCCATTTTATGCCTTCCCTTCTCTTGAATGTGAAAAGATTAAGCAAAAACAGTAGCAATGAAGTAATGCATCTATCCTCATAACCTGTTACCAATCTTGGGACACATATTAAAAATTTTTATGAGTCAATAGGTTAGATCCAGACTACAGTTTCCAGCAGCAGAACAGACTCTTCTTGCCTGCCCGCTCCAAGTGTAGCCTACTAGGGTTGCCAGGTCTGGATTGGAAAATACCTGGAGACTTTGAGGGTGGATCCAGAAGAAGGCAGGGTTTGGAGAGGGGAGGGACATCAGCATGGTACAATGCCATGGAGTCCACCCTTCAAAGCAGCCATTTTCTCCAGGGGAGCTGATCTCTGTCAGCTGGAGATCAGTTGTAAAACCGGGAGATCTCCAGGCCCCATCTGGAGGCTGGCAACCCTATGGCCTACTATCCACAAAGTGCTGCTCCAGGGGGATGGGGTCCTCTAAGGAATGACATGAGTAGAGTCTGCAGTGGAAAGGCAGAATTGGCAGATATTGCCAGTTTATTCTGGATCCAGCCCATAATCTTTGATTTCTTTTTTTTTAAATCCATAAACATGGAATTATATCCATTAATATGGCATGTTAGCCTGCCATTGATCAACTTTGGCAAATTCCATCTACTTTACATTCTTCTTTTGGATTTAAAAAGGTACACATAAGAAAAACTTAGCATGCTTAGGGCCACCTGCTTCTGTTTAAACTAAACTACTTCAGAACTGATGTAGCATAACTGAAGTGTGATATCATTGCAGTGCCCTACAACCAAACAACACTTATTATTTTTTTAAAAATGTAGAAGTCTGATTGCCACTTCATCTGTGTGCATAATGGTCATCTGAGTGAATGGGGATTTCCACACATGCAGAGAACAAAACACAGCTACATGTACAATAAAACCATCTGCCAATCATGACTGCTGTGCTTCCTGTATTGATTTCAATGAGGCTTGTCCAGAAGTCCAGTGATGTACTTCATCAATATTATCATGTGTGTCAAGTATTAGTAAGATACTTAACAGATTCCCACTTAAAATAGTGCAACACATCACTGATGGTCACCATCTGCTTTAAAACATATTTGAAAAGGGAAGCTTTTTGCATGTAGTTTTCCATTAAGAGCTCAACTTGGAAAGCTGAATAAAGTAGAAAATGAATGTAACAGAAGTATTAGGCTCAGTGTAGGTTTATGCATTCTACCTTTAAACTGCCTACAATGAACCTGTGCTCATATTATGAATAGCCTCCTTGAGATGTTTGTCTGAAGAAGTGGGAGTCCTGTGTACTAACGAATGCATCCTAGACATACCGTGACTTTGTATATAGAGAAATCTAATGGAAGGTCTACTGCATATTTTATGAGCACACAGAACACATCTGGAGGTACTAATGAAAGTTACTATCAAGCCATCCATTACAAATATATAAAGTGTGTTTATAAAGTTTGTATAGCATTACGGATACTGGGAAACAATGGAAACATTAACTAATAAATGGCTTTTCTGATTATAGAAATCTGATGCCATCTGTATGTCCCCATTCTAGATAAAATTTAAGTTTGACTTTCTCTCACAACTTAACACAAATGTTTAGAAAATCAGTTAATAAATACAATATTTACTGACCTGTCTCTGCTTCTCCTTGATGGGAAGGCAGCGTTGCAGCCCGCAACTGTGCAGACGTGCATCTCTTTTAAATGAACATTCCTATAGTGGAGCTTCACACTGTAAGAACTCTTGAAACTTTTCTTGCAAACATAGCAGATCTTGGGATCTGGGCTTGAACATAAATCACCATCTGGGGAGAATTTCTGGGGGCTGCTGTAGTTGAATGTGGAAGTGAAACTTTCATGGAGGGCAGCCATACTAGCACTACCTCCATTGTAAAGTCCGTATTGGCTCATGCAAAACATATCATACGTAGGATCTGTAAATTCTTCCTTAATCTTAATTTCATCCTGATGTGAAGCTTCATTGTGGTTTTCATCAGGCCTGTTGTGGTTCATCACAGATCTGTTATTTCTTTCATGCATCATGTGCTCATCCCCTTCCATGGATTCCTCGCAAAGTTTTGGTTCTGAGCATTCTGACTCATTTTCATAGTCTCTCTCATGCTCTTGGTCTTCTGATGTCATGCTATCTGCTCTTCTTAGCTCTGTCCTGGAAATGCACCTTCTTCCATTTTTTGAGAAGTCTTTCACAGACAATCCCGGGCTCATTTCTTCCTGAGAGTGGCAGTGATTGTCATTAGTAATACTTCTGTTATCATTGATGTCCTCATCTTCATCATCAAACTCATCAGCAGTGTCAATAACTTCTTTCTCTATTTTCACAGGCATGCTTGACTTTCTTGGTTTTTTCTTAGGGGCAAGGTCAGTATTTGTCTCATGGGTGGGCATCACCAACACCGGTGCTGTTGATTCTGAAGAAGGAAGGGGAGGCTGCTCTATTGTAGTAGCCACTGGCATTAAAGGACTGGTAGGTAATGAGGTTGGAGGACTCACCATCTCACCTGGTGTAAGTAAACTTCTGTAAAAAGGAGGAACAGGCTGTACAGTCTTTAAAGCTGGGAACACTAGTTGGCTAGGTAGAGGGTTTTGTAGCACAGGGTCTAACGGGGGAGTGGTAAAACCCATTGGAGGTCGACCAGGACTTGTTAATGTCAGGTTAGATTTTGTACTTGCTATAACAGGGGTAGCAGCACCCGATGTAGCACGGATAAGATCCTTGTCTCGATTGTTCCTTAGCATGGGCATATGAAGTCGGGGGTTAGGATTAGCACTGTGACGGTTGCGACTTCTAAGAGAGCTGAAGACCATGTTGCAACCTTCAATAGTACATCTATGTTTGATCTTAAGATGGACTGCATTGTAGTGGATTTTGAGGGTACCTTTGTCATAAAAGGTCTTGCCACATGCATTACAGAAAACTCTGCCTTTCCGTGATGCTGATCCCATCCTCCTCATTCTGTGAATTCTGAAAGAGCTTTTTGTATGTTCAGGTTTGGATAAATCACTGACAGGGGTAGATGTCTGCACTGGAGACACGGAAGCTGGCTCAGTTTTGGGCTCTACATTTGTGATGCTGGTCAAGGCGTTCCTGTTGGAGTTCTGCTCATTCTTGAAAGGCGCTGGGGACACTTCAGATTCACTGCTTTCATTATATTCATTCTGGGTTGAAAGATTTGGTTCACGCAATCTCAGCGTTGGCTGTTCCAGCAGGAGACCATTCGGAGGCAAGCCCAACAGTGGAGCTGAAACTGGATTTATATATTGAAATGGAAGCAGGAGTGCTAGGCTGTTTGGGATGTTTTCAAAATGATGAATGCTGGAAGGGTTGCTGTTCTCCAGATGCGCTAGAAGACTTGGGCTCCTGGTTCGATTATTGCTTTCAATAAAAGTCCTTATATCTGAGTCTGCCTTTGAAGATGGCACAGCCACAGCCTGCCCTTCTTTTTCTTGAATTGCCATCAGCTCCACAATGGATTTGGTTTCTCCAAACCTCAGAAACTGCTGAAGGGTAATAATCTCTTCTTCCCTGGACATGATGGCCCAGCGGTCCAGCACTTTGCCTGCAGCATCCTAGAGGCATTATCAAAGAAACAACAAAGACAAACACAAAAGAAGAAAACCTTATTGATTCTGCATAATTATTGACTTCGACTGAAAGTGCTGCGCTGACTGCTCATCAAAACACTAAGCTCAGAAAACTACATGCAAACACCACAATGCTAGAGGTCAACCCACAAAGCAAACTTTGTTGCCATGCAAATGTTGTAATTAGAGTCATACTTAAAGAAACTGATTGGTTTAATAATGTCAAAGCAAACAAAAATGTAGACTGCTGGGGCTTTGTGATCTAAAATGCCTTCAATAATGCCATGTGAACAACACAGATCTAAGTACTGGGCAACTGTTTAGCATTTATTAGAACAAGACATGAACCCTTGCTGGGGATCAACCTGCAAATGCAAAGGACTGTACCTTAAACCTTATTAGATACAAGGATGATAGAAAATATTTAAATAAATATACTTAGCCGTATGTGCTTCAGATAAAATACAGATGAATGAAACTGTGACAGTCTTCAAAAATAAAATGAATTGTTAGGCATTAGGAATCACTGGGGTAGAAATTAAAAGCACCAACATAAAATATTGATATGTTCAAATTTATTTTTCCCTTCCAGAGCAATATTTAAAATTGAATTTAATGCCACATCAAAAGATTTAGCAAAACCCAGAGTTTTGATTGATGGAACTGCTCTATTACAGGCAATTGATGGTTATCCTGTAATCTGAGTTTGTTTAGACTTAAAATTTGATGGCTTTTTGCCATTCTTTAATAAACGACAGTTGCAAATACATTTCAAATGTAAACATTTCATAGTTGCAGATAGCATAAATGTGAAAAAATGTTGTCTCTTAACATTGCCTTTGAAAGCCAGGGGAAAATCCAGAGAGAATACACATCAGTAATCACTAGACTATCTGTTGTTAAATATACATTAAAAAGCATTTCACACTTTCATTTTTGCTAGTAAGTATGAGATTTGCCTGGAGGTAGGACTTAAAAATTCTGCACTGTAATGTCAGACTCTCTGCTGCAGTATGTATTGATAAGAAAGCATTAGAATGTTTAGGTAATAATTGCATCATTTCAGTGGCAACTTATCTAGTTAGGCTAATACCAAGCACCTTGCTGCCTTTGTGATTCACCAGCAACCTGTCCTTCAGCACAAAGCAGAGAATGGCCTTAGAAACTGCTGCAGAGATGGCTCTCTAGCTGTTTCTTTTTGCTTTTGCTAAGTAGGGCACCAGCATAAAGTCTCACAACTTATACTATCTTGCAAACATGCAATCTTCACCCCCAGAAATTAGCAGAAGGAAGAGGGTAATGAATGCATAATTACAAAACAGAAGTAAAATTGTCAGATAATCCATCCTTAAATTCTAGAACCCAAGGCAACACAATGTGAAGATGGCCAGCAGTTGAGATGGTCTTAAAAGGGGATTAAGCAAATTCAGGGAGGACAGATCTGTCAACAGGCACAGTCCATGATAGCTACATTGAGCATCCATGTTCAAAGGCAATATATCTCTGAGGAGGCCTGTTGCTTGCAGCCCTACTGATATGGAAACAGAATGCTGGACTATGTGGACTTTTGGTTTAATGTGGTGAGGTCCTTTTTATGCCCATAATTTAACTAGTATAATTTTAAATCTTGCACATCCCATGATATTATCACGATACAAACCTATTTTGGTTGTAATGCTAAGAAAAATTAACTTGGAGGTAGCTTTTACTGAAATCAATTTACTTCTCAGTAATTGTATTCAAAACCAAGGTATTTCTTTCAGGTTGATTCTAACCAAATGTATTTCCCCTTGCTCCTTCCCCAATGCCCCAGCTTGCCCTGAAGGAATACATGTGAAGAATATTAAATCAGAATACAAAAATACGACTGCATTCCTATGTAACGTTTTTCATGTGTGCAGTTGTGCAGCTCCAGAGATATTTCCCCATTGGGGGGAAATATGTGTAGGGATCAGTGCACAGACCTGTATGAAATCATATTCTTCATGCATCACAATAGGATCTCATACTGATGCTCATACTGCCCACAATAAAAAGTTCACCATAAACAGCTAGAAATTTCTCTGAGCATGTCCAAGTGCAATATATACATGCATTGCTGGCTCCTGACGTTGGCAAGGTGAAAAGACGATGGATCCTAAGGCTGGTAAAGAGGTCAATCAAAAGTTATACCAAATAATCACACAGTCCTTGTTTTAGATTTGTTTTTAACAAGCTGTATAAGTCAAGGACAACAGAGGTTAAGCTGCCTTAAATTACACTGCTGACTTTTTTCAAAAGAAATGTGCTGTGTTGCTGGACTTGCTTCCACCGATCATCTGGCAGACGACTCAGGGTAGGAGCTCAATTTGCTTGCCCTGTCTCCCTTTGCTGCTTAAGGTAACGGACTGATGGGCCCTCCAAAATCTTGAAGTTCTGTGCAGGTTCATTTCTGTTGACCAAAGTTGTGCACACCCTGAACCTTTAAAACATAGAGAAGTACCTTGTTGAGATACCGCTTAGGCTCTGCTCTGTAAAACATTAAGAGCACCCTCCCAAACAGAGTTACCGCATTCTAAGCCCTCTCAAGTCAATGATTTTAGATGGGTATAATTCTGCTTGTGATTGTTATGTAATTCTGAGAACAGACAGTGCAATGTGGCCTAATTGAGTTGACTCTGCCTCACCCCCCCCCCTCATTTGAGTGACCAGCTTTGGATCTGACAATACACAGAAGTCTTCAAACTATTTTCTTTCCATAGGAATTAGCCAGTACAAGCCTCGCAAACCTCCTATGAATATGCAGCCTGATTTTATGCATATTTACTTGCAAGTACATCCTATTGTGTTCAGTGAGCCTTAATCCCAGTTAAATTAGTATACAATTGTAATTTTAATTACTCCCTTGCTAGACACATTGAGAAATGAATGGAGATGGGGTTATGGTCCAGCTCTCTTTACATTATGGGCAAAGTTTATGTTTAGCTTGGTAATTTACTGAAAGCTTACTCTAGTCTACCAGGTATACACTTCTATGGTTCCCTATAACTTGCTGAAAGGTTCCACCTGTTTTAAGGAATTAAAACTTTAATCCAGGTGTTCCAATTTTTTTGAGCCTACAGGCACCTCTGGAATTCTGACACAGGGTGGTGGGCACAATCACAAAATGGCTGCCACAGGAGGCTACTAGAGGAGGACCACAAAGTGTTAGAGAGTGAAATTATACATAACTAACAGTAACAATTTGACATTTCAGGCAGATGCTCTAACAGGATGTCTTTTAATCTGCACAGCCCATTGGAAGCCCTGCTGGACAAATGCCCTGCCTAGCCCTTCACACTTTCTAAAAGCTACTGGTGGGCACCAGGAAAGGTGTCGGCAGGCGCCATGGCACCCAGGGGCACTCCACTGGGGACCCTGCTCTAACTGATCATGAGTAAGTACAGGAACTTAAATGAATGCCACTGCAATTTTCAAAAAGTTTCAGCCAGTACATCCATGCTACATATTGTTTGAGATCTGGCAAAATTATTTTTAAGAAATTAAGAGTTGATTATATCTGGATCTGTAGCCATCAAAAGAAAATGAAAGTTCTTTTTATTTTGAAAACGTTAAAAATCAACCCCTTCTCAGCTTGATTATGTCTAATTTGTGACTAGAAATTTTCCAGCATTGCAGAAAACTGAGTCAGGCTTCATATTGTTCATATAATACAGCAAATATGCATGGGGTATAATCAAAGCTCACTTATCACATAGCTCTAGCTTTATGAAACTAGGAAATGTGTTAGAATTCAGAACCTGATAAGGGAGAATAGGAATATAATTTTAAGATTAAAAAGCTATATACGAAACAAAGACAACCATCCCTTTGGACTGTGCTATAAACTAGCCTTGGATTCCTTTGTGTTTTATAGTACTTGGCTTAAGGTTCACATCCTTTTTGACATGTAACTGATTTCTTGTTTCTCTCGTGATCTTCCCCCAATGCCATTAAATTTTATCAACATTTACATTTTTCATTACAAAAGATTCCAATTCATATTATTTCCTTCAGCTCATTACAGAAAAAGGCAATCCTCTTGTGACAAGGCATACAAGCAAGTCGGAGAGTGTCGGCAAGCCCATAAGACTAGCATACACCTCGAAGGAATGTCTCTGCTTCTCTGGCATTCTGATTTTCTACAGATGGGTTTATCCCTTCTGATTTCAGAAAAAGGACGACTCTTTGAAAATCTCTAAACCATACAAGATTAACCTCCAAGATTACAAGATTTATAACCTTAAATTATTCTTTTGCTCCATCTTAACACACACAGGTTCCCCCCCATAGCTGTATGAGCAAATATTTGTGAGTCTGCATGTGCACATACACATACGCACGCACGTGCGCGCACACGCACGCACGCACACAAAGGTACTTATTATTAGGTCAGTGAAACGGCACCCCACTTAATCATCCTATACTTTTCTTTTGATATTTGCTGACCTACAGGTTAGGAAGAAATAGGCTAGGATGTGTTAGGAGACATCTTGTTCTAACGTCTGGGTCACCTAAGAAAAAGAGATGAGGTCAGGATGATTATCACAGACAATACAAATGAGGCAGATTGAAAGACCTCTCATGCTGCAATTCAGTGTAAATTTCAGCAGTTTAACTGGGGGTGGAGGTCGTCCTGTGGAGAGAAATGGAAAAGTTGGAGATATGATTTCCTGAGGGCTTCTGAGCTTTATGAATCTACACTATGAACACATATTCACCCTGTTCAAGAGACAGGGCCTTTTCCCAATCAGCCTTCCCCTTCATTAGCTTTTGTTCCAAAATGTTTTAAATTCGATTTCCCCCTCTTAATGAAGATTTGAAAATATTCTGTGATCCCCCACCCTTAGCCAACTGTTCATTATTACATATCTACATCTATTTCCAGGTCCATTTTTAATCTCTCTAATTTACTTCTTGGCATAGCTAACTAAGGTAAATGTATGCATAGATGCATACATGTCTGT